GCAGAATCCACCAAATTATCAGATGACACAGCCGAACATATTCGCTCCGATGCCGTATCCAAATGTGTACCATGGAAACCAATCGGCGCATCAAATCATTTCGGACCAAACTCAATATGGGAACATGCACGATGGATTCGAGTGAGCCCAGCAAAACTTTCTTCAATTATGAAGACAGATCGTTTAGTACTAATCTTGTTTTCACGACTCTTCCATTCAGGAACCAACAAATGCCTTCCCCTATGCCGAATCTTCCGTTTCCAAGTGGCGTGCAGGTATTACTTACCTTTTTTGCAGTAAATAAATGTATTTCTCCCATCAACAGCTCTCTGTGAAAGGTTCTCACCTTCTGCTTCGTTCACATCCATTTCGGTAGAGTGAAAAGGAGATGCCTCAACAGCATTTGAGCCCTGAAGTTCTAGTGGAAGTTTTCAAACAGATAGTGAGTTGTTGCTGTTCAGGCTTCTGAAGCCATTCCTTGCCCTTTAAAAAATTAATAATTCCTTTGCAGGGATTGGCTGCTGGGAGCAGGGATGCTCCTTCTACAAAAGCACAAGTGAGTTTGTCTGCTGCGTCGGCTGATCAGTTCTAGATGGTGTGGTCTTATCATTTCACCCGAGAAAATTCGTCGTAATTCGTGCCATTTTCAAATTTGACCTTTACAATGGGTATTCGCTTCTATGGATTATGCAGAACATCGCAAAATCGAGTCAGGTATTTCGCGAAGGACCGATTCCCTCCCCAAAACTTCACAGTAGTAAGATTTCAGTCAGCCTCATTGAGCGCGAAGTACTTGCTTCACGTGCACGCTGCTGAAGTGGGTTTCCCAAATGGATAATGCTCTGGTATTGTTCAGAAGAAACTCAAGAAGTTTTATTACCCTTCTTGTACCATGTCGCGTATTCATCCATAAGCAAGCAGCGCCTGGATCCAATTATTATTATCTGTCTATAAATCTATATATTCAATATCTATATACGAGGGTAAGTCAGAAAGTAAGGTTCCCTATTTAATTTCTTCGGAGGGCAGGTAATTACATCGAAGGCAATATACAGGAAATCTCCCCACATACGTTTATTTGCCCACGTAGTCGCCGGATTTGTTGAGACATTCGTCGTAACAGTTGATCAGCTTATTGAAGCCCTGACGCGAACCTTACTTTCTGACTTACCCTCGTATATCTTATACTTGGGCGTCTGTACGCCTGCAGTGCCATGTGCGGCGCCTTCTGCCCGGCTCCGGGTGTCTGTCTCGCTCTCTCGAGCGAGCACCCACTTGGCTCAGTGCGAGCACCTCTCCTCCGGCCGTTGGATCCATTCTCGAGAACGTAATAGCCCGGGGGGGGGGGGGGGGGAGTTCAGATTGCATGACGAAAGAAAAACAATATAGCGGACGGGAATCGATGCCAGGACCACCGATTTGGCTGACAAGTACTTTTCCTTTACACCACCGAACCAATCACGTAAGTAATATCATGTTACCCATAACATTACAACGGGAGAGATGCGTTCTACGCACACCCCGATACAGACCCGGGGACTTCTCAGCAGGGACGTGTAAAGCGTCCCCGCGTATTACACTTGTAGTCCCCTTTCATCCCCTATGGAATGATGAATTCCTCGCCGGTATGAGGTCTCATCATCATATATTTCATCATCAGATCATAGATTTATCGGAATCTCGAATCCTTTATCAATCAGAACCCCGTCCTTTTATGGATAGGCATTCTCACAAGGAGAGTGGATCCCGAGGGTGAAAACGGCGGGATCCCACCTGTATGGAACAGGAACCCTCGAATCGGAAAGACGCCATCGGCCGCGTAGTAACCGTCCCGTTTCTCTAGCGTTTCTTCTACATGTCATAGGCCTACATGAAAAGTGGTGGAGATGGACTTCACCAACGAAACGTACATCGTCGAGATCGATACGGGATAAGAGTGCCGTTCGATAAACGTCCGTATCGTAGGCGTGAACACACCCGTGAATAAGAGGGAGGGGGATGCGCAAGACGTATAATGTCGGTGGCTGCTGCGCAGAACGTCAATGGGGCCACTGACTGAACTCGTGAATATCCGAATATGCTACACGCTTAACCTAGGCCGACCCAGAATTCGTGGATGTCTTCCACAGGTTGGGTCTCCGTCTCGCTCGAGAGCGAGCAGTTTCTTTCGAGTCTTCGCAACTGTTGGATTCATTCTCGAGAACGGGAGAGAGCGGCTGCCGCGTAGAATGTTCGAGTGCTGACTGAACTCGTGGATTCCGACTATGTTCAGGACCGTAAAAATGGGAGAGAGTGGGGGGGGGGGGGGGGGGGGGGTCATTTTGGCGACCCTGACTATGTTACACACCTAGCCTAGGCCAGAAATGTCAAACTTGACGAAGCTGGTGGCCGGATGGAACCCTTCAGGAGTGGTTGGGCCCACAATCGCACGTCTTGCACCAAAATTTCAATTGTCAACAGGTTGAAATTGTCTACTCTGTCTAAAAACCAATTGTCGAAGAGGACTTTGCAGGCCGGACGAAATCAAATAGTTGGCCGGCAGTTAGACACCCATGGCCTAGATCGACCCGAAGTTCTTGTAAATCCACAGGTCATTCTCGAGAACGGGATGGGCAATTGTGGTCGATAGGAAAAAGTGCCGATCGATAAAGGGGTCGGGATTCTGATAAATGTAAGGGCAAAAATCTCACCTCACAGGAAATTTTCATTCCTTCAGCGAGGTGAAAGGGAACTTGCAAAGATTGCGAAAGAGGGTCTGCTGCCTATAGTGATGAGAGGGCCTCTGAGTTTTAGGGCCACGAATGAACCAGGGAGTTCTTGCCTAAGAGCTCGTGGAAGTTTTTCACGAGTCGGCTAGTCTTCTATATTATGCTTGGGTGTCTGCATGTCCGCATCTATCTGCGCATGCGCGACGCCTCATGCATGCATCACGCATGCGCGACTCAGGGTATCCGTCTCGCTCTCTCGAGCGAGCACATTCTTGCCGGCCGTTGTGGCTGTCAGATCGATTCTCGAAAACGGAAGATAGGCTTTGTACGTCTTGCGCACTCTTACCCATGCGAGTGTTCAAACCTCGATGCGGATTTTCCCATGGGGACGTTTAACACTCGGAATCACCTTTCATCCCGCTGGAGGAAGGTGAGATGAGATCTGCGCCCCAATATTTATTGGTATCTTTATCGATCGGAACCCCGTCTTCGTATTGATCGGCATTCTCACAAGTAGAGTGACTCCCGTGGGTGATAGCGGTGGGATCTAATCTGGATGGGATAGAACGGGAGCACTTACCTTTGGATCGAAAAGACGCCGTCGGCCGCGTCGTAACCCTCCGATTCCCTGTTCGTATTTTTCACTCATAATCCTACATGAAATATTGTGATGGACTTTACGGACGATAATCCTGGTCTAGCGCTAGCTTTACCCTTTCTTTCGGCTAGCTATGCTCCTGCCCAAGTTTAGCTATTTAGGTTAGCTAGCCAGCCCTAGGGCTATTTATACGAGTACGGGTACGAGACATGCAACTGGTCGAGATAGGTGGGTTTTTCTGGCGACCCTCTTGTGAAGCGTGGTCAGGAAAGCCGCCGTCGTTTCAAGAGTAATCAACACTGGCAAAGGACAGAGGGCTACTGTCGAGAGGACAGGTGTTATGTCCAAAGAACCCTCTAAACATTACATCGCCAGGTGCGAAACGCTATTCTAATTTTTGGCAGGAAACTCATTGCAGATACAGTGATCTGCCCTGCCTTTCTCTTTGAAACAAGCCTTTTTCACAGTGAGTTCACCTTTGAGGAACACCATCTTTAGGAATCGTCGCGAAAACATCACCCAGGAAAGGTGGAATTGGTTAATTGACACGATAAATGAACCACTGATCGATTGATAAACCTCAGGTTTATTGACTCGACTAGCTTAGCCTTGGAAAAGTCCTATCGTGCACCGAGGCAGTGGCAAGAGCTCACTCATTTGACATCGTGTGGAAGAAAGAGCTCTTGTTCCAGAATAAATTTTCCAATAAAGTTAGCATTTAACTTTCTAAATATGTTGGATGTGATACCCGGATAATTGTTTACTCCTACCTAGCAGGGTGTTTCGTCTTGCTTGGGGGAAGTTTGAAACGTTTCTTTTTGGCCACCCAGTGCTTTGAAGTCTCGTAAAAACATTAATGGCAGGGGTTGGACGGATTAGCTTTACCCGAATAAGAGAATTCATGGAAAGTGGCCCTCCAAATTCTGAGACCGGCATCCGTCGAGACGAGCGAAAGATGCTTCCGGGCAAAATTGGCGCGCGGAGTTAGAACATCCGAGGATGTCTAACAGGCATTCGGAGAGCGACAAGAACTTTCCATTATGGGGTGTTGGGGAACCTCCAATCCCTGAAACCCGGAATATTTTGCTTGGTGCCCTTGGTGCTCCTTTGGAGAGTAATAAAATCAGGACAATCAACTCTATCGACTGGTGCTAAATCGCTTTTATGGAGCAGGAGGTGCCGCTGAGCGGTGGCTCAGGATATCAACTGTATAAAAGGGTTGTCAAGTGGTTAAATGATTTTCCTGCGAAAACCAAGTCATGTAAAACTTGCATTGACTTTATCTTGTGAGAGATCGGCTGAAATGAATTCGCAGTTGTGGTTGAGGAGGCGATCCAGTTTTTGCAAAGAAGCTCGAATTTTTTCAATTTCGTTCTTCTTTCACCATAATGAGATAATTAGCTTCGGATTTTCTGGAGTGTCCAGAATCACCATTCCATCCGTCCTATTTGTTAAGCCACACCTACTCACCAAGAGCAGTCGCTACACACCACTCCGAGCACTTGTATAGCTATAGGTGTTTAAGAAATAACTCAGAAACTTGAAAGCAATGCAGTTGCAGACATGAACGAATCCTATTTAGTGGCAAATACAAGTTTAATCCTGTTGTTCATTTTTACCAGCCTCATTGGGCAACGTGAAATGCTGCTAAGAGTACATTAGGATAAGAGTACATTAGAAAGTTGAAAGCCTGGATGGTAGTGAGCAACATGGATATGTTTAGATGTTATTTAAAATATGATTGACACAATCCAAGAGTAACTTTGAAAATTCAGTACGTATTTTTTTTATGATAATGACATGTTCTTCAAAGATGAATGCAGATCAGGGAGGAAACGGGGGAAAGGTACCAGGAGCAAAAGCAAAGGCAGTGGATAAGAAGATGAAGAAACTTCCAAAGATGGACTCCTCAACTGACGAAGAGGAAGAGGAAGAATCGAGAAGAAGGGAGGAAGCCAGAAAAAGACGGCAAGAAGAGGAGAGGCGAAAGAAAGTCGAAGAACGGGAGAGAAGAGAAAAAGAGAAGCAAGAAATGGATAAGCAGCGCCTGCAGCAACGTTTGCTTCAGACCATCTTGGGGATGGAAGAATTAACCCAGAGTGTCGATAAATTGGCGAGTACTCTGAAAATCACGCCTGAGGAAATTCTGGGGGTCGTCAACGAGGACAAAAGGTTTCTGCTTTCGAAGAACATGGTATCTTTGAATATTCAGTTATCGATTTGCCAGGACCACTTGACTCTCGATGGTTGCGTGGAGGAACAGTGTCAATCTTTGCATGTTTGTGCAAAATACATTGCGGAACTATGCAGTAATGCCAGGTGCGAAGAAGGCCATGATATCATGACAGACCATAACCGCCGCCTCCTCCGTCAATTCGACTTGGAAAGCATCGATTGCCGGATGCTAATGAAGTTCCTCGAGCCAGACTCTATTACTCCTGATCCGTGCTGGGAATACAATCTCTCAGGATGCAAAGAGGATCAATGTCTCAAGATGCACCTATGTGCGGATTACATTTCAGGGGCTTGCAAGGCGTGCGAGCTGAATCATGACGTCCAGGAAGCACAATGTGGGACATTGTTGAGGCAGGCCAATGTTAAATTGAGTCGATCCAGAAAGGAACTGAGATTGTATCTGAAAAAGAAATGGGTAAACATACAGGAGATTTCGAAGCGGAAGAGAGAATGGAATGAAGAAAAAAAGACTCGCCAGTCCCAGGCTTTCCCTGCTCAGTCCTTAACGAATCAGCCTCATATTGCAGTGAGTTTCGCAATTTTTCTTGCAGTTGCTCTCACGCTGAACTGGCCAGTTCTTCGTGAGAGCAACTATTACTTTCTAAAACTTTTACTTGCGCGTGCGGGGAAAACTTTCGTTCATCGAGGTTAATCCATAAGTCACTCTCTTCGCTTGCCTCGTCGAGTTTTTCTGCGCCGAACTCTTTGAGAGACTTATCGTTATCATGACCAATGGGAAGCAACTTACATTTCTTCTTATTAAACCTCAGAGCCATTTCTTACTCCATTCGTCCAAAAGCAGCAAATCCTGCTCGGTTCTCTTCCTATCCGCCTCCTTCCTGATTGAAAAACCTATTTTGAGTGTCGTCGGAAAAGCTAATCTTATCTGCTAGGCATAGATCTAAATCGTTCAAAATCGGTACGACGTTCGCCAGCTTTCAGTTCGGTACCGTTATTTCCCTCGCGAGTTCCTCGATGACATGAACCCATCCCATCGGGCCCGGTTGCCTTTCCTGCCTTCAACATCCCAATCCTATTTGCGATCTTTTCCTCGGGGATGGAAGTGTCCGCCATGCGCGGAGAGGGAACTCCTCCAAGGCTGGTCCGTCGTCGGATTCGTTCGTGAAGACGGAAGCGAAGAACTCTATTTGTAACGCGGCCAATTCTTCATCACTTGTAATTTTATTAACTCTCCCCTGATGTTCACCAGGTTTCTGCTATTGCTATATCGATATAAAGCCTTAAGATTCCTTTTAGCACCGAATGTTAGCTGTTCCTTGACCTTCCCTCTCGCCAACCTGCTTTCCCGCATTGATGCCTTCGTAGCAGTCCGGTATTTTTCACAGCCCGCTTAGTCGCCCGTGTGTCTACAAGAATCCCATTTTTTGCTTATTACCTCCGATAAGCGACGTGAGTTTGCCCTATACCAGACGGGGCAGTGTGAGCGATCTACTACTAGACTTCTTGCGAATACAAACTTCCATTAAGTCCTGCAGTAATATACCAGTATAGGAGACATCTGTCGGCTTGACGATTCTCTTCGTTCGTTTGATATCCCACGAGATCACGCAGTGATCCAAGTACTCCAAACTATTTTGAACCTTAACATCGAGCACCGTGTCGTCGTCCGTCGCGAATACTAAATCGATAAGGTTGATTTTCGAGTTAGTTCGACGTTCCGTACGAAGAGAGCATGCTGAATTGCAAAACAAATTCCGTTTCCCCCTCGCTCCCTTCTCATTGGACCATCTAATGTACAGGGTGACAAATAATGGACGCTCCCATAAGAATCACTAATATCTTTGTTGAACATGGGTGTATGAACTTCAAATTTTTTAGGGATACTCCGTAAATGCAGGAAAATTTTTAGCGCCAGCATACAGTATTAGGCTTTTGTTCATTGTTGACGTTTTTGAGGAAATGGCAACCTACAGCATCGCACAACGAGTTTTCATGGTGCAACAATATTATTTAAGCCAAAGAAGTCCAGAGTGTTCGACTGCATCGCATGATTGCAAAGAAGGGTACCCACATCGAGCATGTCATGACATAATCTCCCTAAGTTTAAGTTCACAATACCATTTGAATTTTCTTCCTAACTATTGTAGAATTCGAGAAATAAATTTTTATTTTGGGAGCGTCCATTATTTGTCACCCTGTATGTTATGCATGTGAAAGTCTCCAGAGAGCAATATCTGCTTAGACTTCTCCCTGATACTTCGGATCAGTGCAAAAAAAAAAATGCTGCGTAATCCTCATAGAAGGTGTTTGGAAATCTATGGAAAAATCTAAACACGATCCTCCCTGCCACCCTGACGATCTTGTACCGTAATTGATCAGTCGAACCACAGTTAACGGAAGTAAGATCTTCCCTAATGCAAAAGCCAAGTTCGTTTCCAGCTTACAAAATGACTCCTCCACCCTTTCTGCCGAGCCTATCCTTACGCAAAACTTCATACCTTTGAACCTCAAATTCTTTTTCTGAGACGTCAGGGCTACCCCAAGACTCAGTTATTCCGATGACATCCAAACCGTTATCAGGAACCCTCTATCTAAACTCATCCACTTCATTGCGTAAGCTGCCTGCATTCGTGTAAAAACATTTCTACAAAGTTTTCTACCCTTCATGCATAGCAGTACGAGGAGGCCTGAAGCTATTCGAAGTTATTCACGAGCAAGACTGCCCCTTGCTCGTGAGCACTTACCCCCGATCCATAACCCCCAATATATACATTTTCCTTCATGATAGCTAACGCGATTGCCCTCCCTCCATCGAGAAATGAACCTCATCCCTCTTCATCGGACATTTGGTAACATCTCAGAGCTATTCTAGTGTTAAGAAACGTTGTTCTTGTTAAGAAACGAAACTCTTATCTCGTCGACTTAGGATCGCGCATACCGTCACCCTCCCACCCTACTTAGTCTTAGGATACGTACTAATCGCCTGCCTGAGCCTGGCCATAATGAGTTCAGAGTCAGACCTTGGTGTATTATCGGTCCCAGCATTAGGTCCACCGAAACCTCCTCGGCTGACTCCGAGGACATCACCGACCCTATCTTGTTCCTAACATACTCAGTCCCTGCACAAAGGAAGGGACTGAAAAAAAACCTGAGCTACCGAATCTTGTTCCATTGCCGCCTCAAAACACCAGACGTTTGAGTCACCAAGGACGAATACAGATGGCGTTACTCCTCGTCCCTACATCACGGCCCAATTTCGTCTTCCTGACCTCCCACCTGTCCCCCCCCTCATCCTCTGATCCCTCATCCAAGCTAACCTCTGAAACCCCTGAAAATTGTTTTCGGTCTAATTGACCGTCTCATGAGATCGTCGAGCCTTCCAGACTTTACGACTGAAGCCCAATTGCTAGACATTTTTGCCAATTTACTACAGTACCTTTTCAGAAAACGTATTTTACGACTTACGTTTATGCATCATATCGTTCAAATATTGACCTCTCTGTACGTTTCTACTTTGACGTGCAGGCAAAATTCTCTAAATTTGCGCCATTCCGAAATGGAATTCATTACATTGTTTAAAAAGCGGGCAGAAACATCTCTTCAAGTGGGACCTCACCAAATCTCTCTGCACGATACCACGGTGTGGGTGAGAAAAGAAAGGTTTTAAAAGTAATGTGGAAAGTTCAGCAACTCCCAATTACGGCTTATGCGATGCTTTGAAACCCTCCCCCCATGAATCGCCGGTGAACTCCAACATTAGCCAGATGTCTCGTTTTTTCGTTTTCAGCAACAGGGGCTGCCTAATCAAAGTCCTCAAGAGCACGAGGTGACGTACCCACTCCATCCCACTCAAGAAGCCCATGTTCTATCACCTGACGCGAGTGGACCCGTGCCAATAAAGTTTTCCTCACCATCTTTTGGTCCGTTCAAGCATAACATGCAATACTATCCGCCCGTAGCCCACCAACAAGAAACAGGACAGCAGCAAATGCATGCAATGGATCCACAGCCAGAGATACCTCACTTTCCTATGTTAGGATCAACATGGGCATCTAATCCATATCATCAAATGCCTCAAGCAATGAGTGGGGGTAACAACGATTCCAGAATTCATTTCATCCCATATCATCAGAAGGAAGGTAATCACAAATTAAGATATGAAAACTTACCTTCATCAGGTAATTTTACTGCAAGACCCGGACAAAACTACCAATATCAAAGTCCAAATGCCCAGGGACCCCTTCATAATACACCCAATGAATGGTATATGAGTCAAAGGTAAGCAAGCCTTCATACCGTGGTTATGCCCTCTAGATGGAAATGAAAGATGTACATAAATGCCTTACTCTGAACAGGAATCCACTGATGCCTGAAGTTGGAGGATTGCTACAAGGGGGGTTGTCACCATTCCCCATGGCGACAGGCAACGTGAGTTTTCTGCCATCAACCACTTTCTATCAATATGTACAGTGCCCAGCTTCGAATTGGCTTGTCACTTTCGAAGCGCACAATAACTTGATGAGAGCCTCTTATGTTTCACATCTAAGTGCTAATCATATGCAACAAAAGTTCGATAGGTACGTCTATCTTCTTTATTGATGATTGTAACTCAGTCGACTGTTATGAGAATCACTAGTTAGATATTCATTCAAAATTAACTTATAGATATAGAACTTCATTCTAAATATTTTGTTTATTATTTGAAAATCAACTGCGGAGATCAAGTATATATGCATCACATATATGTTTATGTATATTTAAATTCATTTCTTATATTCTGATCTATTCCTCCAGCAGAAATCTCCAGATTTCGTTGAATGCGTTGCAGCAATTCAGTAGACAAATTTTCCTACCCTGGGGAATCTAGTCCAAACAAAACCTAATTAATACATCTCAAAGCTTGGGATTTGGATGGAAATGCTTATTTGATCCCATAACAACTCTTCTCACTCCAGCGCCTGTGGGTATATTTATTTACGAAGTCATCAAGGTACGTGTGTATAATGTTTTATCAGAGAACGGTACATTTGAAGTATCACGCGCTTTCACAACCGATTGTTGATCATTGGCGTCCCTATTACAATATTTCCTCAAGGCAAAATCTGTACAGGGTGGCCAAAAAGTCACGGAGGGGGCAGTGTTTCTGGACACTAGGGAGGCTTTGAGTCGCTGT